CTTGATTGTTTTTGGGGCTAAGTCAGAAACGCGGACCGCTGCTTCAAGCGACTTTGAGCGTGACTTGAAGCGTGGTTTAAACAAGAAAGCACACAAGGCCATTTGTTGTTGGCAATGCTGATTGCCCCTTTCTGTTATGCTCTTCTCAAACCGCTGGCTTGAAGCAGAAAGGGACGCACGCCTGCCTGCAACTGTACACAGTTCAGTTGGAGAACCAAAAGGTCCAAAGCTTCCGGCAAGCCAGGATGAAAAAGGACCCCAACCCAAACCAACCCAAACCAACCATACTTGAGTGTTCCATCCGCCGAGCGAGCACAAGTTGTAACAGTGACCGTTCTGTGAAAACCCAATTACGTTGGTCCCCCTTGTTCATGTTGGGTTAACGGCTTGTTATTAGGGGGTGTTCTACCCCAAATGGCTAACCGCTTACGAGCAACGGACATCCAAGTTCCCGACATTTTTCCGAGTTTCGCCAGGCTCACCCTCACGGCTGACGGCCAGAACCGAGTCCAGATCGGCGCCAACGGGGATGCAGTGCGTGTAGTCCTCAGGCGGTGTCTGTTTTTGAGGCTTGGTGCTGTACCCTTTGGTGGTTTTAAGGGGGGGCAAAGGGACAGATCACGATAGTTGAGAGGTCCCCAATTTTCACACATTGCGATTCCCATATGGCGGGTCTGGACGAGTTGAGAAAACAGCCGCAACCCTTGAGCATCCTTGGGACAATTAGACAGGAGCCATTGGCGTCCGGTGTGTCAGGTGGCCGGCACCGCCCTTTTGTAGTAAGTCCAAGCAACTTTTTGTCCGAAGAAAAAGATATGCGATGAACACTGAGATACAACGCCCAAGACCTGCTGGGAAGTGGATTTTGTCCACGGCTGCCGGCTGCCCCCCGTTTTTGGGGGGTCCAGTTCCGCCTGGCCGAGCTCGAATGCGGTGGTCATATGGGTTTGTCACTGGGGGACCATTTGTTACCAGCTCAAGCTGGCGTTTGGCTGGTTCAGGCTGAAGCCGGGATCCAGCTTTGCCCTGTGGCCTTGGGTGCCCATTCCCTTTTCAGCTGAAGAGCTTGAGCTGCACTCTAGACTATTCCTAGGAAAGTACACCAGCCGTGCGATAAGATTTGGCCCCCCCGTCCGCATGCTAAGCGGAGTCCCTTGATGATGCTGCCAAGAAGGCACTGAAAAGCACCCCACCTGCGTGTAGCATATGTGCAAGGGTTCTCTTTATATATGTTGCCAATTGGTTCTGCTGGGAGCCAAATTCGTCACGCATCTAGCAGCTTCTAGGCCTGGGGCCCACCAAAATGATTGGCGCAAACGTCTGTTTCCCAACGCTCAGTGACATGTGGAGGGGTCTATGCCCAGAAGCTGCCAAGTCAACCACTAGGCAGAGGTCCTTGTACTCCTGTGTGGCGTAGGTCTGGTTGAAGGGAGTTCTGAAGTACCATTTGGGTTTGTCGAGTTTAGGATGGGGACACCAAGATGATTTCATGTGTTTGCCAAGCACTAAACAAGGGTGCCACGCCTGAACAAGACGAGCCACCCATGTGTCAAATCCGGAAATAGGTTGCGAGGCCCTGGCTTCAGAAATCCCAGGCTTTACGTACTACATCACGCCCACCGTCGCCAAGGCTGACATCCGAGTCCCAGACACGTCGAAGGGCAGTTCCGCATCCCCTTGCATTGCCCTTTGTTTCCTTCCAAACTAATATGGGTATGGGTCAAGATTAGACCAACAAGCCGCAGGTTTTCGCCTTTGGTTCGATTTACCAGGGCAATCCCTGTTAAGGTTACCGCAGTTTTGACCCACAGCCACATGGCTTACCCAAAAAACCTCCGTGTCCCAATTGGAGACTACGACTCTGAAAATGGGGCTGGTCCATGCACTTGAGGCCCAGTGGCAGGCAAGCCGGCAGTACACTGAAAACTGCCATGTTGGTAGGTTTTGGGAGGGGCGGAGCAGTGGAAGGCAAATATTTTGCAGTATGTGGGACCGGTTCTTCATGTTCAACCCAGGAAGGAAGGTTGTTTGTGCAGGTCCTGGATCAGCAACATCTCCAGTGCGAGTCTTCCTGGTGACTTGTGTGTATCTACATACACCTGCAACTGCTGTTCCGCCGCGAGAGGCTCCATCTACCAACCCCGAACCTCTAATGACTATCCCAATTCTTCCGCTGGGAGCGTCGTTTTTGAGGGTGGTGTTTCCCATACAGGTGGTGCCAAAAACGAAAGTGGTGTGCCAAAACAGGTGGTTGCCGCAAAGTGGTGTGCCAAAAGAGGTACCGAAGAACTTCCATTTGCTTCAGACTACTTTTTATGTTCCCAGCTGTTGGTTTTAAAGAGAATCGATTTCACTACTGGACATATTTTAGCTTTCACTACTGGGCATGTTTTTTTTTCTTCCCCCGGGCGGTAAAGCGAATGGCAGAGAAAGAGCCACCCAGCCGCCACGGACCCAAGTCGCCACGCCGAATTCGGACCAACGATCTCGCGAGGTCACCCCCTCCTTCGGGTCTTCAAGGGGTGGCACCATCGTGCCTCGGCGCGGGAGTGGGGGGCTGGTGTCCACGTATGGGCCTGGTTTTGGTTTTGAGGGTACCTGAACCCTCAAACTACCCATAAAAACGGGTTAGTTCGCAAAATTGTGGGGTGATTTACCTTTTTAAAGGGTAGGTTGTGAGGGTTGAGGTGCCCGTTTTGGGTTGGTTTGGACGGGACAATAGGAAAGCCTTTATTTGTTTCCCCTATTTTGACGCACACCCATCTGACGGGCTCACCGGCCAGGTCGCAACAAGCAGATCCCAGGTCTCGTATAAAGATTCCCTTGGTTCAAGTCTGCGGTGTGCCTGGACAAAGCATGGGCAGCAGGCTTGACTATCCCCAGATGTCCCACGACTTTGGTTCGCCTGGATTTCGTAGGCCAAACAATCTAAAGGGAAGTTCTTGTTCTTCCGCGTCAGCCCAACCCTTTGGTTATTTGAGTCGCTTCGTTTCAAGGTCACCGTATACACCCCGATGTTCAAGAGTCAGCCATAATCCAAAGCCCGGGTAAGTGAAGGTTAGTAAGGGTTTTGTCTAGTTTTTTACATTGGCTTGGGTAGACCAATTCAACACCAAGTGAAGGTTAGTAAGAGTACAGTTCTTTACATTGGTTGGCTAAACCATGTTAAGGGTAGACCAATTCAACGCCAGGTGTCCACTCTGACTCTAGTGATCCTTCCACAATTTTTTGGTTGCCGACTGAACGTCGCTGAGGTGCAGTTGGAGGGCGCCCACTTCATCAACGACGGACGGCTCACCTGCAAGTTCGGGGACCTCACGGTGCCCGCCGGGCGCTCGGAAAGCGCTCGGCGATCTCGGCGCTCGGCGCTCAGGCGCTCGACGCGCCACGCGGGATTGATGGGTGCGGGGGGGTGCGGGGGGTGCGATCGGGGGGTGCGGGAGGGGGGTGCTGGATCGGCGATGCGGGGCGGTGCGGACAAAAGGAGCGAGGCGGCATTTTTGAAATGTAGCCATCCAAAGGGGCAAGTGGCGAGCCAATTGGGGTACAACCCCCTAAGAGAAGGTTAAGCCCACATTGGGGGAGTTGGGTACCTCGCAAATTGAGCACGATCTCGAGATGTTTAGTAGTGCCAGCGTGAGGCCTGCGCTGTTCACTCTTGAATCATGGCTGATGTTAGCGTCAGCCAGCAACTGGAAGCGCTCAGTTCAAAAACTTTAATCCACTTCAAGGTGTTGGGGATCAAAGCCACGTGTATGTATCTAGGTGCCACAGGGGTATATGGGTCTACCAGTTTCCCCAGCGGCCCATTACTGAGTCTCATCGCTGAGGCTTTCCGATTCATCTCCAGCGCGTTGGTGCTTTGCAGGCTGGGATGTTAGACAAATTCAGTCAGTTCTACTCGAGTCACTGACAATACAATGATAGTCTCCTGTTGCTTTGGGGAGAACATATCTGTTTGTGGTTGTGTGTGTGTTGTTGTTGTCAGGGTACCCGTTTTGTGTAGATTCGCAGGGAAACCAAAAGGAGAACCACAATTGTGGGCGTCCCCTAAAAATAGACTCACTCATGTGCGTGTGCGTGTGTGTTCTGCGTGTGCGTTTGCGTGCCAGTTGTGTGGCTCAAAATCAAAGGATCACCCCCGGTTCGTGTTCTTTCTAGGGGGCCAAGCCGTCCAAATGGGTTTCTAGAGGTCAACCCTGCCGTGCTTGCCTGTCGCAGAGAGTTTGTCTTTCCAGGACCCCTCAACACTTGTTTGGTTTTATTTTGGCTTCTTCTCCTCACAAGCCACACTAATTCCATCGTTTTTCAAGGGGTCATCAGGCTTTCGGACTCAGACGTCCAACAAGAGAAACAGAAAGGTTTAAAGACCACGCCTTGTGCCAGGTCGTAGAACTCACTTTGAATTGCGACGTGGGTGTTTCTCAAAGTAAATGAGGGACAACATGATGATCAACTACATGAATGACAAGTAAGTGATGAACAACAATGCATGCATGAACATGCCTGAACAACTGGGGTTTCTGAAGGATTAACAACTAATAGTTGACTGCTTTAGGTTTGAACCTTCACCAAGAAAGGTGGACACCGCATTCGGGATGGAGCCAGGACACCCATTAAAGCGCCTGGGATGGTGCAGGCCAAACCGGAGAAGAGTTTCGGATGCGGTTTCGGATGGGTTCCGAGCAGGCAAAGCACGGAAGACTCGCAGGGCGCCTTTTTTGGCACCTTTGTGTGTTTGTTTGCTTGATTGCTTGCTTTGTTGTTTGATTGATTGCTTGCTTGGTTGGTTAGTTGGTTGGTTAGTTGGTTGGGACCCCCTCCGAATCACTGAAGAGCCTAACACTCCATGGCTTTCAGCTGTAGGGGAAAACAGACACATCACCCAGCAGCTCGGCAAGTTACCGGAGAAAGATAACCTTCTTGTTTAGTAGGTGGTTGGCCATGTGGGATGTAATCCCCTAGTAACAAGGTTAACTACACTGAACGGGGGACTCGGAAGTGGGTTGGAACCTAGGTTACCAGAAACCTACTAACTTGACGAATATTTCCCATGTTAATCCCAAGCACTGCCCAAAAAGCAGTGGCTTCGGGCCCAGAAAGCAGTGCCTTCGGGGTGCTAGTAATGTTCTCGTTTTCTGGGTCCCCTATTTGGCAGCCAGATGTTCACAAGCTGCTGAAACGCTGTTTGCGCTCAGGACCCACTCTTATGGCTTTACACGTTTGGCTGCCTGCATGTGTTTTGCAGATGCCTCCCAGTGCGTCAACCATCACGCCTGCACTTATGTTTCAAGACAGTCGGACACGGCAAGTGTGATGATGGGTTAGCAAAATACATCGTCAGCAAGCATCGGTTTCTGTGTGCCCCAGATGTGGGATACGGCGCATGGCAATCACAGTGAAGCAGCTTGCTTGGTTTGCTCCTCCTGTCCAACTGACTTGCTAGCGTCAAAGTTCGTCTAGCTTCAAGGTTAGTCTAGCAAATTTGACACAAGGCCGCATTCCGCATGACTTCAATGAGAAGTTTCCTCTGGGCAAGGGCCCGCAGTTGATTTTCACCCTAGGGTTGTGAAGCAGCCAAACTTCAAAGGCCGATTTGGAGGATCCAAAATCGGACTTGGGTCGAGATCCCTTCCATTGCCTGAAGTCTTTGGTTTTGCTTGCATTCCAACATCCTAAATGTCGCTTTCATGGACTCCCCGTGTTGAAGCTCCCTGTTGAAGCCCTCGCTCCACGAGTTGTTCTTGGGTCACATTTTTGGATTGGACCATTTTGGTGGCAACCAAACAGTTTGATTCGCCTTCGCGAATCCACGCGACCGGAAGTGAGTGCCCTTTTCGGAGCCCTCTCCAATCCTGGTGCTGCGGCTTCTTGGTGGCTCCCAGCCATGCGGTTCCTCAGCCTTTTAGCTTTTTAGTGGTAGTTTTCATGTAACCCACAAAACATGAGTCACGTTGAGCTGGGGATCTGAAAACAGGCAGCCCAGGTTAGTCAGGGATACCATAAATAGCTGCGGATACCCACCTTCCTAATTCTTCACATGGTTCTGGGTAGACCATTTTACTACCGGGTTAGTCACTTTTAGCCGGGGATCTAAAGGCAGAGTTTTCTTCCAGCTGCTTCTCTTGTGCCTCCAGAGTCGGCCAGGTCTATTTGTCGAACAACGGGCAGAACTTTACGGCCGGAGCCTCAATCAATTGTCTGATTCTTTGGCCTTATAACTTTGCAAAGTCCCAACTCTCGTGGTCTTTGCGACCAGGGTGCAGTTTACTCCCAAGTCATCATGCGAACAGCACCTAGAGCCTCCATGACCCTTAAAAAATGGGTCCATGACCCCTCAATTTTGGTGAATGACCCCCATTTTTTAAGGGTCATGGAGACTCCAGGCAGACCCTTTGGACATGTCTTTCTGGATCCAAGTCGTACATGATGATTCATGGCGGGGGCAGTGGTGACCTTTTTGGCCCGCCGTGTGGCAGAGCACAAAAAGGCCAGAAACGTGTCCCGGCTTTGGGGCTGCACATTGAAACCGCCGAAAGAGGTTGGTGCTCGCGATCTATCTGTTTAGCTTAGTCGCCGACAGCCGACCTTTTGACTTTTTGGTTTCCTGTGTTGGATCGGTTCCCATTCTTAGTCATGGCTCCAGAAGGTCAACCTTTTATTTCTGGGCACTTCGGGCAACTGAGGTTTTGGGGAGGGCTCCTGGGAATAAACATGAACCTATGACAACCATTGCATGCAAGACTCCAATAGTCAACTTAGTCAAGGGTCGTTGCATGTAGTTCTCTGATCTCCTTGCCGATTCCTCGTAACCCTCAAAATTGCACCATGCCGGGTCAAGGGACTGAACCGGACACGTGGCAATTGGGGACAGTTGGCATGCTGCAATGGCTCCAAGCTTCAATTCTGGCGTTTGGCGGGGATCTAACAAACTGGTAAAGCTGACCTCCAAACATCCACTTACCTCAGCCATTTGGCGGGTCAAACATATCTACCCAAAATGGAACCCTAGTAAGTGGAAGCATGGACTCAAACCTGCAATCCCCTGGTGTAATTTTGGCCCATACCCATTTCTTCTTGTGAGCTTTTGGGTTGCTCCTTCATTGCTCCCCTTACCTAAGAACTCACTTTTTGCAGGTCTGAGCCGGCGCTTGATCCAAGACACCAGCCCGCTTCGCGGGGCCACAGAGCCAGGAACAACCCCGGACAGGCAGGTACTTGTGTCGCCTAGAACTTCTGCATATGTGCGGGCTGTGCATACGCAACCCCCCTTAGCTCTGTGTCAAAACAAGTGAAAACCCAACAAGTAGTGGCTTTCCTTTTGGTTTCCCTGTAACCAACCTCACTTGGGTCCCCTTTAACAAGAAGGAAAACGTTCTGGACCATCCCTTTGGCAAGCCTGCAAGGGGGGAGCCTGTTAAAATTGCGCGAGGGCTCAATTGTGGGTCTGTGTCAAAACAGGAGACTCACAAAATGGCTTGCCTCAATTTCCCTTCTTGGAACCTCCAAAAGTGGAGATCGTTTCAAAGGAAACAACCACATCCAGGTCCCCCAGGATCGTGCCCTACCGTTTCTTTTTTGGGGGAGATTCGGTTGCCCTACTAAAACAGACTACAGAAAAAAGCTGGTACCCTTATGCTAACCTCTCTACTGGAGGACCTAGACATTGATCAACCTTTGAAGGGGAAATCCAGTGACCCGAGCCCTCGGCAGCCTTACGTGAGCCACGTGAGCGCTGAGGGCGGCAGTGACGCCACGTTCGAGTTCCTGGGCAGGGGGGCCTGGCTTCCAGGTTGAAACGGGGTTCCCTCGCCAGCACCAGCAACCCACCCATTGGGCTGGTCTTGAAAAATATGTCTAGTAGAGGGAGCCTAGGTCATCTGTTTTAAAAGGATGCCCTTTTTCTTGGGCTGGTCTTGACATAGGTTTAGTAGACCCAGTTGCCCAGTGGCCCCCATTGTTTTTCCCTTTGAACAAAAAACTCAACCAGCCAAAAAAAGGACGCGTAGAGGGAGGCTAGGTCGTTTGTTTTCCGGTCTACGTTTAATTTAGAGGTCATACCAAATGTCCCACATCGACCAGACAGGTGTGCAAGCTGCTTTGTAAATAGATTATAAGTTATAACCATGGGTCATAAGGGGACGATCACCCCAGTTGCCCCCCCCCAGTTATAACCTTGGTTGTCACCTTGCTAAGTTGGTTGAACATCCAAGTACCCCCAATCGCTGGATTTGGGTCAGTGCAAAGACATGGATTGGTTTTAAACGCCCAAAGAGGAAGCCAAAAAGGAGGTTCTGCCAGGGGCTGCTTCCTTGGCTTCCGGAAACATCAAAGGGGTGGGTTTCCAGGCCGCCTGATTGACACCGGATTGCCTGGATCGTGCATCGCACAGCCGGCATTTGCCAACAAATCAGACCTGCAAAGGACCAACCAGCAGGTGAAGAACCCAACCTCGCGCCAAAAATTGGGGGATGCAACAAGCCACCAGTCTATCCTTGAGCGCCGAGAACAGACATCCGAGAGTTGGAAGATAGTCCCAGTCCAGAGTCACAATGCCTTTGCTTTTGGGTGGGCTGGGGTGTCCAGTGTTTCCCATACAGGGCACGTAAGGCAGTGGAAGAGACTGCAGGTGAGGACAGGTTGTAGGACTCGAAAAGCCCTGCGCTGGGTTTGGCTTCTGAGGCCAAATCTGACGCAAAAGCTGTGTTCCTGATTCATGAGAATATATGGTCGATCCTTTTGAGGGTATCCTGGGGGTTGCTTCTTTCAGGGAAGCCAAAGGGAGAATCGTTTGCGCCGTTTTTGGGGTCCTGTTCCTGTTTTAAGACGCACTCATGTAGTCAGGGTCAAGAGGTTTGCCATGAAAAACAAGTCAAGTGGGACAGGTGGATGAACCAGTTGAACAAATCCGTAAAAAGCAAAAAAATGTGGAAAGTTCGTTCATGAATCATTGGTGCTGTTGAAAGGCAGGCCTCAGACTTCGGAGATTACTGGATCTTGAAGATGCCACGACCTCCGGGATGCACTGCTTTCAGACACGGCTTTCTCAAGAAGCAAGCATTTGCCCTTCGCACATCCGGATATTCGGCATGTACGTGCGAATGTGCTGACATGTTTTGGCCTTGTTTGAGCTTGATGGCGTTTCGGCTGATTGTTCTTCTTTGACCCAGGGCAGTACTGTTGAAAGTAGATGGCACAGTCCCCTCATTTGGTTTAAGCCTCCCGTTATCTTGCGCCCAGATCACCAGAACTTCGCCATCTACTTTCACCTTTACCTATGCCTGAACCCTGAAACTACCCATGCACATGGGTTATTGCCCCAACATTTCGGGGTGATTTCCCTTAGTTTAAGGGTAGCTTGAGAGTGTAGGTGGATCTCGGCCGAACAAGCGCGAGGCTTTACCTACTTCCACCTGCACCCGTACCTGGGCCCGATCAGTGGCAACACCGTGGTCTGGAAGCTTAGCAGCTTAGCATGCGACGGTCAATCTCTCAAAAAGTTCGGACCCCCCGTTTGGTTGGGGTCTCAATCAAGGGACCTGAACCGTCCAGCTAGTTGTTTCCCTTTTTCGGGTATAGTTGGAGGGTCCACGGAGACCTAAACTTTCATTCCTTGCCACCCAATGTACCGAAGGACACCCCTTATATAAATGGCACTTTGGACTTGGGAAAGGTGAGAAGCGTTGCAGGAAATGCACCAAGTCCGGTTTTGTTGTTGTTTTTGTTGTGAGGAACACCTAACCCAGTGGATCCACTTGCATGGCTTTGTAGGTAACCAACGGCTTGCCACCCTTCAAAACCTAATAGTAGAATAGATGGTTACCTACTGCAAGGGTTTGCCCGGGATCCACTGGGCAAGTTTTCTCGGCATACGGCATGGTTTCCAGACGACACTTGATTCAATAATCACCTCGATTGGCAGATTTGGGAACGGGAGCCTATCGTGAGGTGTTTAACACGTTAAAGGCAAACAGCTTGGCAATAATACCATAGCAGCTTCAGATTGTGACAAACGCCTCAGACATCTCCACTCGCAATGGTAACTAGCTGTCCTTTTCTGACAAGATCCAGCAAGAGTTGATGTGAATGGACACTTGTAGAGGCAGGTGCAGAAAGATGTAGCTGGACCCTCAATCTACCCATATAAACATGGGTGATTGACCCAAAAGGGTCCAGGTACACAAAGAGTTTGACACGCACGCAACCTATCAGATTTCAGTTCGGGAGGCGGGTTTGTGGGTTTGGCATATATGATCCCCTTTTGACAACACACGGACTGCAGCATTCGTCTTTAAGGTGGTCAGGATTGCTTAACATTGGTTTGCTTTCACTCGGTTTGCTTCAGACCAATTTTGTTTATTTGTTCAGATCGGGCGACAGCTGGGGGCAACGGGGACCCTGCTTCTTCAGCCAAGAACCTGTATCTTGGCTTCCAGTTGTCCTTTTCATTTGCGGGTGCGCAAAAATATTGTACGTCAGACAATGATGGACTTTTTCATACCGCAATGTCCTCTGTTGCCCAGCGGTGCCCTTTCTTCCTTGTTTGCGTAAGGGTTCCCTTTTCAACTCAACCAACAAAAAGGGTGCCCTTGTTTTTCCCGTGGCCACTGGGCATCTGAGTTTCATGTTTTATCTTTTGCTGAAGCCGGAAAAGCCGGTTGGTGAGCCGGGGGTCATGTCACCAGCCCCTGAGGTCCTGGTGGAATCCGCCAGCGTGCCGGTGGCTGCGGATGCCTCGCGCGCGCCCCACGGGGACGACGGGCGGAGGTTGTTTTTTTTTCGCCGGAGGGGACGACGGGGGGGTTGAAGGAGGGGCGGTGGCGGGTTCCATCTCTGAGGCTCCCTACTTGGATGGCCAAGTTAGTAGGTGGGTAGCCAATTGGGGTTCAAGCCTGTAACAAGGTGAACCTCACTTAGGGGGGACTTTCGAAGTGGGCGATAACCGAGGGGTGCCTTCCTGTTCCATTCTTTTCAGGGATTCTTCTTTCTAAACCTACAGAAACGCACGAAGCGCGGCATTTGAAAAGAACGATGGTTGAACAGAATGGTGGATAATCAAGCCCTAGAGCTCCTCCGCTGAGCCCGCTCAACCTGTGCTAAGGATCCGCTGCCGCTTTGGGACGCTCACGGTGCCAGGCATGCGTGTCAGCGCCTGAGCCTATCAAAACCCAGCTATTGGGACCTCGGGCTTGCGGGGGGGGAGTGGGAGGAAGTTTTTTTTTTTTTTTTTTGTGGGGCGGAGGAAAGGACTTCACCCATGAAGCTGCGGACATGTAGCAAACCGACGAAGCGCTCCGCAGGTGTGCGCTTGGGGCATTGAGCCTTTCTCGCAAACGATCTCTCTTGCCTCTTTCGCATGGAAGACGTTTTGGAGCTCTATCAAGAACTCTCCGGACCTGCGTGTTTTGTGTTGTTTTTGTTGTTTGTTTGTTTTTTGTTTTTTTTGTTTGTTTTGTGTGTCTGTGTGGGTAGCCGAAGCCAGAGGTGCATACCACTGCTGATTTTACTGGTGCATGTGTTCTTTGGGTCCTTTTGTGCCTGGGAAAGGGAAGCCAAAAGGAAAGCAACCAGCTCAGGGATCCAAATCCCAAACATTTCGCCGCCTCATTTGCCATTGGCAGACCTCGTTTTGTTGCAGAAGTCATTTGACGTGGATCCGACGGATGCTATTTATTTTGAGGGTCCCTTTGGCTGGCAAAGGGAAACCAAGAGGAAACTGCCTGGCGTCCCAGGTTGGTTTCTTGCCATCCCAAAGTTGGGCATCAACACCATGGCAGGAACTGCATGATTGCGTCGCCCAACAGCCTGCAGTGAAGGACATTCCAAGCGCAGAGCCTTTTTGAATCAACTGGTGCCATGTGGCCACTAAGTTTGTTTTGCCACTCTTAAACACTGTGGTATGCTGTGTGCAACTACCACTTGTATCCCAGAGGCTCTTTGTAGATCAAACTGAACATGTCTGTGGGGGAGAAACACGTATCTTCAGATCACCCTTGGTTGGTGGTTGGGATTGGTGGTTTGGGGATTTGACCCCCTGGTTCTTCTTAAGGTTAAGGGTTAATGGGAAACCACATCATTTCACCAAAGCACCGATTCGTCAACCACAAAGTAGTTGGGGAATCTGCGATTTCATGGAGCCACAGGGTATGCTCTGCTTTACGCATCCGCGTGTGTTCAATGCGCCGAGGTCAACGAGACGTTCCTGCAGTGCGTCTCTCCAGCGGCGCGGCCCCTGACTGTTAGTCGAACGCAGGGAGCTTGCCTGAACCATTCGGAAATACACAGTCGGTATGTCTCAAAGGGGCCCGAACAAGATTGATAGATCTTCATGTTTGTTTCCATTTAAACCAACCCCAAGAAGGGCACTAGTGGCCTCAAATTGAGACGCACATCCATTTACTGTTCGAGTTACGACTAGAAAACTTTGACCATTCGAGCTATGACTCGGAATTATTGGACATGGAGCTTCCTTGGAGCGAGGAAAGGGCACCAAGGACTCAGAAGATCTCAGCCTGCGAGTTAAGCCGTCGCAGCCAATTTCGACATGGCTATGATTTGAGTTGTGGGACCTCCACATGCGAATTCTTCTGGAAAGGAGCCACCTAAGGTGGTTGGACGAAACGTCCCCAAGTTTGATGCCGAGCCCGGCTGCCGAAAAAGAAGCCATGAAGCCACCAGCCCAGCCTGGATTGTCACAAAGTGAAGGGCCGAACTCCTCGCCCGAGCTCTTGGCTTGGAACCGAACCACGTGTGAAGGGGGAAAAATCGCCCGCCCCTTGTGGGGGGCCATACCCCTTGGGGTTTCTGCGTTCTTTGAGGGTTTCCAGTTTGGACCCATGTTGGGGTCCAGTTTGGTGACCTGGGCGTAAAATAGTCTTGAGGACTCAGAGGCGCGTTTCATGCCTGACAGGTCTGAAAGCTATTTGCATGCGACAGAGAGTTGTGTGAGCCGAGCGTTGGCCTCTCCGGTTGCCTAAGGAACAAGCCATGCCACCGGATTGCCTGGAGTCTCTGACCCGAATCCAAACAGGTGGACATTTCCATATTGGAAGGGTGAGAAGGAGACTCCAGGATTTCCATATTGGAAGGGTGAGAAGGAGACTCCAGGATTTCCATATTGGAAGGGTGAGAAGGAGACTCCAGGATTTCCATATTGGAAGGGTGAGAAGGAGACTCCAGGATTTCCATATTGGAAGGGTGAGAAGGAGACTGCAGGATTTCCATATTGGAAGGGTGAGAAGGAGACTCCAGGATTTCCATATTGGAAGGGTGAGAAGGAGACTCCAGGCAAGCATCAACCAACAAACTAGGAGTTCATACCAGATGATTTCAGACATGGCTTCATACATTCATGTTTTTGTATGCTTCTTGCTTGTGCATCGCTCAGGTGGTCACTGCGGGAGAGGCGCAAGAACCCGACGATGTCTTTTTGACGGATTTGGGCGTGTTTTTTTTTTTTTTTAAGTATCAGGGCGAACGGAGATGACACAGTTCCCTTATTGTGGACGAGCAAAGGGGATGACGTTTACCAAAATTGGGGATTTGTGCCATCTACTTTCCCCCCCAGTACCCTTTGTGGGGTTGCTTTTTTGGGCACACCAAAGGAAAGCCATCCAGTTTGGAGGTTGCCCCATTGAGAGACTCAATCCACTTACCGCTCGAATTGGCAAAACCCGGCCTAAACTGACTCAACCGCGAAGCTGTACATGGGTACCGGTTTTGGAGTGGTCTTCAGTTCTCTGTTTTAAGACACCCCCAAATGAGTTCGACCAAAAGGTCCATCTTGGCCCCAGAAACGCCTCTCCGCCGAGCTGGTTTGACTCAGACGATTTTGGAAGCTTGTCCATGATCAAAGATGGCCCCAAAACACAAGTCAGGAATTAGTCGGTCCACGTTTGATGTGTGTGTGTGTGTTTTGTTTTTAGGTCCCCAAGTAGTGCCCTTGTACCCTTTTTTCGGGGAGGGTTCCCGTACTAAAATTGACTACAGAAAAAGGGCACCCTTATTCTAACCTCTCTACTAAAGGACCTAGGTGTGTTTGGACGGGAAAGCACTTGACTTGATGACCTTGAACAGCCAGCCGCCATGTGCGCGGCTTCTTGGACCAAGATCTCAGGTTTTGACATCTATCGCTTTTGAACGGGGGTCTGTATTTTGTCAAAGTCGGAAACTGGGGCGACTTCTCTTTAACCTACCCCCCCCCAGGGAGTGACTCGGTGGCAGAATAGTGGGCGAGACGTACCGGACAGATATTCGAACAAACTGGCCGCTGCGTTCATTTCAGAAATGTGAGACTTAGTCCATGCGGCAAAGTCAAGAGTTTGGCCGGTATGCATGGAAGATCACCGTTTGAAACTCTAAAGCTTGCTTCCTAAGTACCTGGACTTGAAGCTTTTTGGAAGGATGTATACAAAAGTTTGGACTTTTTTTGGCCAATCCACTCAGGAAGTGAGAAAGGGTGTCATGGGCGTGTAAGACTGTCAGTATGTGGCTTTTTTTCAGGGCCGATGGCAGAATTGTGCGAAGATATGATCAATTGCTTATACCAGCAACCTGCTTGGCCTAGCCAAACCCACGGCTCAACTGCTGAGACTTGGTTTAGCCGCCTTCCAAGGGACACCATGGAAGTGGATTGAACGTTGGCCCGAACCTGAGATGGCTGTAATCATCTTCCTAGCCCGTGTCTCTCTGCAGGTGAAGTTCGAAGTTGCGCTGAACCAGCAAGACTTCGTAGAGGCGCGCGGTTCTCCGCGCGATGTGTGGATGCGTGTCTTTTGAGGCTACCCTGCTTTTGTTTGGTGATTTCAAAGGGAAAGCCACTTCGATCAGGAAAGCCACCATAGTATCACATTGGGGGGTACCCGAAAAGACACCCGTTTGTTTTCAGCTGCAGCTGTTTGGTTTGCTTCGGGAACCATACGACCGCCGTGACCATCCTCTTTACGATTGGATGCAGTGGTCCTGAAGACAACATGGAATCCTAGAAGCAAAGTAAAGGAAACTCCATACTTGTCGGAGCCGCAATTTGACGCCATGTTACTCTTTAGGCAGCTAGGTTGCTGCAATGGCGAAAGAGACAGCTTGCCATTCCCATAAGCCCAGTGCAGGTACGTGAGAAGAGTTTCTCATCTGCAGTCTAATTTTTTTAGGACCCCGAATTGGTAGTTTCCCTTTCATTCCCCTTGGCCTTGAAACCAACCCCACAACAGGGGACCCGGTGTTGAAAACTCGTTTCCGGTGGTTTAAGGCCTTTTGCCGGCCTATGGGTCATGGATACTCACTGAAGGTAGAGGGATACCGCGCCACGCGACTTGATGCGATTCTCAGTTGGTTTGTTTCCGCTTGTTCGTCAATGTTTAGTCAGTCATGGCCCAAAAAAGGGGTATCCTATTATTTCTTATCCCGTTGGACAGGGCTCCTCAAAAGATGTTGCCCATTTAAAACATGGCTTTTTCCACCAAAATAGAGGGAACCCACCATTTACGTTCAGGTGTATAAAGTAAGGATCCCTGTTGGGCTGAGAAAACAATCGTCCTTTGAGCTTGAAGAGCAGCACTTGAATTTGTGGACCCCTCCACTATGGGAATTTCCACAAGTTGCATTGCATGGTGCCAACATGAAGCAACGGTTAGCCAGCATGACCTTGGGTTTTTCTTAAATGGGTTTGTTTTCATTCAGGCACCCTTTTCAGATTGGTTTAAAGGGATGGGGGCCACATTCCCGAAGGAGAAACTCTACTGGATGCTTCATGATTGTATGTACAAAATATGTGAGCCTGGGGTTTTGCTGTGTGTACCCTTCCGGCATACACTTTTAGGAGTATATGATAGTCCCGGGGAAGTTTTGGCATACTGACGGTTTCGCAATCCGCAGGCCTTCTCACCTCCATCCCCCTTCTCTCGACTTGAAAGCTTGTAGGGTTCATCCCCACCTGCTTCCTTCTAAGGATTTGCTGCACGGCTGTAAAAATGTGTCTGGGTGTGCGTGTGCGTGTGCGCGTGTGTGCGTGTGCGCGTGTGCGCGTGTGCGCGTGTGCGCGTGTGCGCGTGTGCGCGTGTGCGCGTGTGCGTGTGGCGTGTGTGCGCGCGCGTGTGCGAGTGCGCGCGTGTGTCTTGTGGCAGTGTGCTGATGCGTGGCCCAGCGTGCGGCGATCTTGTGATGTGCGTCTTGGCGATCGCTTGCCATCGCGGCGTCAGCGTGTCGCGTGTCGCGATAATGCGTGTCGCGTCGCAGCGTCGCCAGCGTCTGGCGATCTTGATCGCAGCGTCTTGGCGTCGCGGCGTCTTGGCGATGATGGCAGCGTGCGTCTTTCATGCGTGCGTGCGTGCGTTGGTGTGTGGGTGGGTGGGTGGGTGGGTGGGTGGGTGGGTGGGTGGGTGGGTGGGTGGGTGTGTGTGTGTGTGTGTGTGTGTGTGTGTGTGTGTGTGTGTGTGTTTGTGTTTGTGTGTTTGCGTGCGTGCGTGCGTGGGTGGGAGGGTGGGTGGGTGGGTGTGTTTGTGTGTGTGTGTGTGTTTGTGTGTTTCTGTGTTGTGTGTTTGTGTGTTTGTGTGTTGGTGTGTTGGTGTGTTTGTGTGTTTGTGTGTTTGTGTGTCTGTGCGCTTGTGTGCTTGTGTGCTAGTGTGTTTGTGTGTTTGTGTGTTGTGTGTGTGTGTTTGTTTGTGTGATTGTGTGGTTGTGTGCTTGTGTGCTTGTTAGCTTGTGTGCTTGCGTTGTGGTTGTGTGCTTGTGTGTTTTGTGGGTTCGTGTGTTCGTGTGTTTGTCTTTTCGTGTTTTGTGTGTTTGTGGTTTGTGTGTTTGTGTGTCTGTGTGTCTGTGTGTCTGCGTGTCTGCGTGTCTGCGTGTCTGTGTGTCTGTGTCTGCGTGTGTGTGTCTGTGTGTCTCTGTGTCTCTGTGTCTCTGTGTCTCTGTGTCTCTGTGTCTCTGTGTTTCTGTGTCTCTGTGTCTCTGTGTGTGTGTGTGTGTGTTTTTTTGAGGGTGCCTTTTCGAGACGGTTTTCAAGGGCCACCAAGCAGAACACCATTTGCGCATGGGTGTGTATGTTGGCACAAAACCATGTATTCTCGCAAGGCCACCCAGAAGTTCCTCTACTACGAGAACCCCAGGAGCGCGCGCGCTTCGCGCTTCAGGGGCGGCTTGGGCTGCGTTTTTACAGCCCAACTGATGCTCTGTATCGTTCTGTTTCTGATGTGCATTGAGCACCAGAGCCGTTCCGGCTCAGGTTCGGGTAGCGGGGAGCTATGTCAGATGAAGATGACTGCAAATGTGACTGCGAATGCATGGCGGTTAGCCCCGCGATTCAGATCCTCTTCTTCGTACTCGTTGGTGTGGTTGGAAGTCTAGCTGCTTTGAGTGCCCTGCTGGCATTCCTTGAAGCCGGAACGGGGGGCAGGCCGATGGGCTCCATGCTCTTCGCTTTTTGCTTGATTTCCGATATGGTAGCGCTGACCATAGTTTGCTCCCGGTACCTCTATTGTCGGACGCACAACGTGGTGCAACCGTTCAAGCAGTTGCACTTGAGGAACATACCCGGATATTCCGGACTTGCCCTTGTGACCATGTCCTCCAGCATTGCCATTTTTTCCGACGCATGGAGGGTTGTGGACGTCCTCGAAATCGCCGGCGCGGTGCTTCTGCTCTTTGCAACACCCCTCTCACTTCCTCGAGGCGGTTTCGTTCACGAAAAGCCGAAAGCTCGGGCTCCACAGGCTCCACAAGCAGAGGAACTTGCAGGAGAACCCGTCCTTGTACAGCCGGAGGTGGTGGAACAGGTCAAGCTGTGAGGGGCCAGGGCCAGGTTGGTGAGGTGTCGAGAGAGCACGCTTCTCAGCAATAATTCTTTGCCTCGATCGCCAGGTCCGGGCGAGCATTCTGAGAAAGGGGAAAGACGCACAGCGGCTGCTATTTCGTTGCTGTTGGGAGTCTTGACGCTTTCCCATGTCCATAAAAGTGTCCACTCTCAGGTCGCCTTAGGCGAACAACGCGACGTGGGTCACCAGAAAAAAGACGCGCGCCTTGAGAGCCTTCTGAACACACAGATTTAGGAGAAACACGCATATCCAGGGGGTTGTTTGGTTAAACGTAGATGGGTTCCACTGGTCTCGGGTTCATGCCTTCATTTGCCATGCAAACCCGAATCTACTTTTTCCCCACAAGGCCACCTGTGGCCCGAGGCCCGTTTGCCTGGATTGGAAAGCCGTTAGCTATCCACCCATTCAGGCACGTAGTGTCAAGCATGGAGCTACAGTGCCTCAAGTGTGCCTCACACGTTGGTTTGTCTACAATTTACGCCTCTCTGCCTGGGTCCCAGACAGCATTTCGTTCAATGTCCCATTGCTTCCCTCCTCTCGCTTTGGCCATTGGAATCCAAAGACCCCAGGGCTTGGCTCAGTTCCGTGGCACCCGTTTCTTTTCTTTTTCCCTTGGTCTTTGGTGGCTTTTTCCCACTAAAAAAGAGGTCAGGGTCACTGAACGAGTCGAAGTCTCCGAGTTTTCGAATGCCTGGGCTTGGACTCCGATTTTGGAAGCGACTTCGATGAGTCCAGGCAACAGGAAAACTGGGACCCAACTGGGCTGGGGATCGACCCCTTTCGTCTGCCAGCCCTGCTGCTTGCAGGATCCTGACGGTGGATCCGCCCTTGGGGCCTAACCACAACGGCCTCAGCATCCGCCTCTTAGGCGAGAAGAATGGCCCGGTGTCCATAGGTCATCACAGGTCCCCTGCTACGGGGGGGGACGGAGGCTTGATTTGTTTGGGGGGGGGGCACAGGTTTTTCTGCTAGGGGGGGGGACAGAGCCTTGAGTTGTTTGTTTCGTTTTTTTTTGGGGGGGAAGGAGATAATTCCCTTTTGGGCACAAAGACATGCATCTTTTTTTGCGCTGGATATTTTGGAGACGCAGGCGCTGCCCGCAAAAAATGAATTGGTTCTTGTCCCGAAAACATAGGGTTACTGCCCTTTTAAATGCACACCGGCAATGAGGAAGTCCCAAGAGCCATCATCGTGGGTGAGTGCCTTCTTACCCGCAGGTAAGTTGTTTCAGCTACCCACAAAAGCATGGCCCATTGAATGGTCATGAAAAGCGGTTCAGCGCCTATGACCTGTCTTCCTTCTCAACCAACAACTATACGACCAACACTTTGATTAATTTCAGCCATAGAGTGAGTATGTCTTGAGTTGTGCAGATGATATGGGGATGTGAAACACATCAAACTGGACCGCCTTGTGCATGGTATTTCAAGAGAAGCAAAGGGGCGCAAGTCACTCATTCTTAGCAAGGCAACTCCCACGCATTTCTGCTTACGGAGTTTCCGACTTGCCCCATGCCCACCTGAGCGTCTGGGTCCTGTCCTCCCTTTTTCCCCGAACCCTTCGAGAGGTTTTTCGTCGCGCAGGCCAAGGCTTCATCAGCACCAACTACCTCAAGGTCCGCTTCGGCGGCGCTCGGACGCCCAAAAATCCCGGCCCGCTGCGAGCGGGGGGCGCCGGATGCGACGCCCAAGGTTTTGACCCAGCGACTCAGTTGTTCAGTGGCACCAATTCGTTTTCCCTTTATTTTTTGGTGCCTCTTTCCCACTAAAAAATTGGTCCTTCCCAAACAAGGGTTCCCTTTTTGGTCCAGGGTCACTGAACAACTAAGTCGAAGTCTCCGAGTTTTCGAATGCCTGGGCTTGGAAGCGACTTAGTCGATGAGTCCAGGGATTCGAAAACTGGGACCTTGTGAGCGAATCCAGGATCTCAGAGGGATTCCAAAACATGGAGAGCCAATCCAATTTTGTGGACATGTGTTGAGTTCCTGGACTTTCGTCAGCAACCACCTTGGCAGTATTTTTGTTGTTTGGGGGCTCCACTGGAAGTAAGTGGCCAGTTGCTTCGATGTGGAACTTGATTGGAACCATAGGCGGCCTTTTTAGGTTTGGCCAAACATAGATTGCGCTGGTTTGGATTGGTTTAGTGCCCACCGCAGATTGATGTAGTGATCTAAAGAGCCAACTTGGCGAGAAGCTCTATAGTTTATTACGCTGGGTAAATGCCATCTGTGATTAATGCCCCATCGGCCGTTCTAGATTGGTTTAATGCCCCATCGGGGCCATTCTCTTCTTCCAAAAGGTCACCTGGGTATGTTTTTTTCAAAACTAAACCACCAGGGGACCGCATGTTTTAGTCTCTGGTTCCATTTACCAGGGCAAGCCATTTTGGGTATCTGATTTTGACCCACAGCCTATTGGAACCATCACCCCCTCATCCTAAGCTTGGGAGCCTGCAACCGAACAATTCATGATCAAGCAGCAACTGCTGAGAAAACACAACAAATCCTAATTAGGAACTGGAAAAGGAACTGGAAAAGGAACTGGAAAGGAACTGGGACAGCAATTAGGAACTGGAAAAACTCGAGGAATTCGAACACCCGGGGATTAGAAACTGGAAAAACTCGGAATTTGACCACCCGCAAGTTTTGAACTGGAAAACTCAAGCACCTGCGGATTAGGAAGTGCAAAAGCTCGAGGAAAGCCGCGCAGATTTCCACAGACGCCTCTTTCAAAATGAACGTGCGCAGGGTCAACTAGCATGTGCCAGCCATTCTGGAACCGAAGCGCTAGCCGTACTGTCTGGACAGGTAGTTTTTTTCATGGTTTTTGGTCTTGGCAAGATGAAAGTATGTCTTCTCCTAGAAAGAAGCAAATGGTCTTACGCGTGCATCAGCTTCCTGGTGCTACTTTTCGCTGCATTGCCAGACGTGGAGAGCTGTTTGTTGGCCTTTCCCAGGTGTTTGCCCTGTCGTGTGCTATGGGCATGTTTTCTTTTCGGGGGCTACCCCTTTTAGGTTTAAAAAGGGGCAACAGGGAAGCTGTATAGTTCTTGGGGAGTTCCTCGTTTCTTTTTCTGAGACATCCGCAGCCTGGGGGAGATTTGTGGTCTCGATGGGCGATCTGTGGCACCTTGACACGAGAAGGGGCAAGAAACAGAAGCATAGATCTCCAGAAGGTGCCAGAAGGAAGGACCCAGAAGGTCGGAAGGTTTCAGAAGGAAGGTCGCCCCACACGATGTATTTTGGAGCACCAAGGGAACTAAGCTGAATCGTGCAGCGCTTGTTCAATCCGAGACCCTCGTGGGATCCTTGCTATTTGTTCAATCTGAAACAATACGCTTTGCTGCTTTGCAGGGCCAGAAGGATTTGAAACTCCGACCTCCTTATCCCGTTATTGAGGCGCGCTGCCATTGCGCCATGTCCCCCTTCTCCAGCATCGTTACAGGAATTCTAACAACATATTTCCGGCCAAGAACACTCGTAAACTCCATGACCCATTTTTTAGGGTCATGGAGACTGTAGGTGCCCATTTCTCTGACAAGGTCTGAGAAGCGAACAGTCTTCAATTTACGAAGAACATACTCCAGGTCTCGGTCGAGGCGGCTGGCCTACATTTGGTGCAGACGGCTTTGGCCTCCACTGACACAGAGGCAGAAGTGAATTCGTTCGTCCCGGTGTTCTGTGTTTCTTTGTTTGCTTTGCTAGGCCAAGCTAGGTGCCGTTTCTCACGCTTTGTTGGTTGGGAGGGTTCCCCCATTAAAATAGACTACATAAAACAAAAGTTGGTACCCTTATTCTCACCTCTCAAATCTGGAGGACCTAGTTTGTTCTCCCCCGAAAAGAGAACCGTAACCCAGGGTTCCCTTCTTAGTTTCTAGTTGCCACTTGGCCACTAGGACATACAGCGGCCTCATGTTCTGTTTGAGATCAACCGATTTGGCTACGCGTTTTGCCCTGGAATGGCCCTCATTTCAGTAACAGTATCATGTTCCCGAAATGTTGCACCACTTTGACACCGTGGGAAACCTGTATTTGTTGATTGTTTTTTTTACAGGCAAATCATCAGACATCAGAGAGTGCAGAGGTTTTGCCTTTCTTCCTTGACTGGAACTCAGGTGTGTCCTAAAGTCGTCAGCCATTTGGTGCAGGCTCCCCTATCCCTCCGGGCCATCCCCGGCCCTCATGAAGATTGGTGGCCTTTGTAGGTTAGGCTGGTTAAAAACAGATGGCACTGGTTTAGATTGGGTTTTCTGCCCCAGCCACCAGCGCGATCTATTTTACCAAAAGGACGCCCCCGTGAATTCTTTTGACCCTCGAAGATGGCTCCTGTCCAGTCTGGGGGCAAAAAGGCAAATGCCTCGATTCACCTTTAGGCCTTTAGGATGGGTGTCCTTTTGAGGGTACCGTTTCCTTTCGATTATGTAGGGAAACCAAAAAACACCCGCCATTTTGGCGGTCCCCCTTAAAAGAGACACACCTTACATAGATCAATATTCTTAGACATGTCTAATTCGCTCCGTTTTTGGCTCCCTGTTAAGCTATCCGAGCGCTTTCATACGGGGCGGACCTGGGCCATTCGCCTGAACGCTCTCTTTAAGGTCTGCCTTTTTTACGGTACCATTTTCAGTTGGAGGGAAACCAAAAGGGAACCACTGATTTTGAGGAACACCCCTGCTTTGAGACAACCCAACTTCAGCACCTTGTAGTTTAGGCGGAAAAATCCAGCTTACCAGGCATCGCTGGGTCTCATCTCAAATTGCATTTTTTCCTTTGACATCAAACTTGTGATACAGCTTGGCCTGAATATGTTTGTCATATTTTCCTGGCAGCCTGCCCATGAAAGGCGTCCAATGTATCAAAACTGGAACCCCTTATACCGCGCGGTTTGCTGGGCGTTTCTCACCCCCTGCCTACCTTACCCTACCCCTACCTCGCTTGTGTACCCCACCAACCCTAGCCTACGCTGATCTCCAGGTAGTGGTGGAACTGCCGCGCATCACAGTGAACGAGGATATGACCCGAGTGTGCGGGGGCCGAGAGCCTTCTCCTTTCAGTTCCGCTTCGGCTTGACGTCCATCCAGCACCTCCCCCAACCACCGCAGTACTCAAAGTATTGGACAGAACAAAGATGCAGTTTGGGGGTGTTGGATATGATTGTTGTGGTTTTCCTGTGCCTTGCACTGCACATCGCCTTTTAGGTGGCAAGCCGTGTTATGTCCTGTTCAACTTTCGGGGGTGATATTGGAAACCCTGGCAGAGTCATGCCCATTTTTGCACTAAAGTATCAAACTGAATCCAGGTTCTTGCCCTGCAGGATATTGACTAGGTCCCCCAGGATCGTGCCCTTTCACTCCCCTTTTTGGGTTGGAAAGGTGCCCCTACTAAAAAAGACAAACAAGTTGGTACCCTTATTCTAACCTCTCTACTGGAGGACCTAGTTGAGTCCAAGAGGGCTCTTGGTTTTCTGGTCCCTTGCCCGGCGAACAGCACGTGGCGACACTCGAAGGCTCCGTTTTTTCGGGGCTGAACCTTCGAAGTGGGACGCCGGCCAATGAGGTAGATACCTTCCCCCAGACGAACATGGAAGCTCCCGAACGGACCTCTTTGGAAGACTTGGTTCCATTTGCAGAAGCCTTCTGGGAGCTTCCATGTTAGTCTGAGGGAGTGTAGCACAATTCACGCAGCTCTCGTGTTCAATGGTCACGTGTCAGCAGCGTCCAAGTATGAGTAGCCTGTGAGCGGTGTTAACAGCTTGTTCTCATTGCGACATTGAGTAGCCTGTCGGTGACGTGTTAAGTGGTTCTTTTCGGTTTGACATTGACCTTTCCGTGGACCCTCCAACTCCAACAATCAAAGAGAACCTACAGGGAAAAGCTGGGGTTACTGAGTTGGTCCCCTTTATAGTTATGACCTATTTGCTAAGTAGCTTGAACACCCAGGCAGTAGTCTTCCACAATCGGCCTGGAGGGTATGTCTAGAATGACTATAGAAGAAAAAAGACACGTTGGAACCGGTGGAATGAGGCCTTTGTACATCTCCAACAACGGCCAGAACTTTGCGCCGGAAGGTGCTTGAGTTCATGGAATTTATTGTTGTTTGGTGGGGGGGCAGGGGGGGGGGAACACAATTAGTGGCAAACAAAACGGCTGGACTTTTTGGGGCCGTCCACTCAGGCAGTGAGTTGAGTCTTCCATCGACATTACAATGAATCCAGCCTGCATGCTTGTGATTGGGGATGGGCAACCAAAGATCTTTTGCAGGTTCTGTCCATTGGTCGCTTTCCACAGCTCCCTACTCAGGCTCCGTCGGGGTTGTAGCAACCTGGGCAAAGACTCATGTGAAGCTACGACCTTAAAAACAGGGCATCCTTCACGCTTGGGCCAGGTGGCCAAACCAAAATCGGGGGATTGTGCCATTTGCTCTCACCCAAGTGTAGGTAAGGCTCCTCTTCTCTGCAAATATGTGCGTTTGTTTCAAAATAGGGACCTGGTTTTGGATGCTTTTAAAGGGAAGCTACCCTAATTTTGAGAAACGCCCATGTCGCAGGCTAGCTGTGATTAGATCCTGTCAGATCAGTTGCTGAAACCACTCGAGTCACTGAGTCTTTTGTATGGTAGCTGTTGTTCCCAATACCAACCAATCGGTCACAGGCCGGCCGGTCAGCAGCATGCCGGAAAAAAGGGTAGAGGCCACTTAGAAATCTGTGATGCCGTACGGGAATCCCCGCTGAAAGTCGTGCAAGGGGATCAACCACTTCACAGATGTCCGATCCGCCGATTTCGAGCGGAGCCTTTCGTATCCTAGAGCCCGGGCTCCAAGTTCCAAGCCGGGAGCCACTCCCCAGATGAACCGCCCAACAGGAGTCTCCTCCAGAAATGATTTGGCTGTGGGTCAAAACCAATGGGATCCTTTCGCTGGGGCCAACCGGGGGTTTGACCCATGGCCATTTGGGTGGTGGTTCGATTTGGTTTTTCTCCGGGGAGCACCGGGCTCCCTTTTGCCCTTGCTGCGAACCCGGCACGCACCAGGGCTTGGAGCACCAACTTCGGCAGCTGGAATTGAACAATGACTAGGTCCCCCCCAGGATCGTGCCCTTTTTGACCCCTTTTTGGGGGGAGAATTTCCCCTACTAAAACAGACTACAGAAAAAAGAGGTACCCTTATTCTAACCTCTCTACTGGACGACATAGACGAAGTGTCACATGTAACTCAAGACGTAAAGGTTTCTTCCGGGTCTTGAACCGACATCTGGGTGTGTGGTTTGAGTAAGGGGACCCCACAAAAAGGTGGTGATCATTTTGGCTTGAAGTAAACCCCAAGCAGAGGGTACCCTCAAAAAACCGACAGACCCATCTGGGAATCTGAAGAGATCACACATGAAAGCCATGGTTGTCCGTTCACATCAGCTGGCTACGTTGTTTGATTTACGCTAACATAGTTGCCGGGTTTATGTTGCCAAGCCTTGCCCTGACCAATTGAATCTGTCCGCTTGCCAGGAGTGCTAGCGTGGGATCAAGATGAAGATGCCGGAGGGCCTGTTTGGTATGCTTCTTCCTATGGGGAGCGAGTGGAGCTGTGACACCTTGGAAAGGTCGTAGGATTTCTCAAAGACTGCGATGGTTGTTGGACAGACCTTTGATTTAATCATTTGTTGTTTTGCTTGGTGAGGCGGACGCAAGGCTGCCGGGGTTAGAAGAACGGCTTCAGCGTGTGCAGCAGAGTTCAAGCCTTTGCCCCAAGAACATGGGACACAGGGATGCATCACACAGACGTGATCCAGTTCTCAGCGAGGGAATGGTCGCCATGTGTATTTCCAGATGCACGCTCATGAAACCAACCTTTCATTCTTTGCCTTGGAACATTATTGCAAATCCACGTTTTGCACAGATCCCAACATCCATAGTCAGAAACGGGTTTTGCAGGTTCTCAGGCCGTTCATGTGTGTGTGTGTGTGTGTGCGAGTGCGAGTGTGTGCTTGGTAAGCATTGACATTTGAATCGTGAAACCCTCCGGTCTCACAACTGCCGGATTGCCTTATGGCGATTAGGGTAGCGGATCTTTGGATTTTCCAGACTGACAAAAAAGTTAAACACTTTTTGCAACGGGGTTAACCTAAACCCTAAACCCTAAACCCTAAACCCTAAACAGGGGTCAACAGCAACCAAGATTGGTTGTGGTTAAGCCTACAGTCTGAACGGTACAATCCTCGAAGTCACGCAAGGGCACTTTTCATGCGCTTTGGCGCTGGTTGCAGCTGCGTTTTCTTTCTCGCGCGTTCAAGGGTGGCTTTCACAAGGAAGCACTGGAAAGCTCTTGGACGGAGCTCGCGCACTTTGTGTTTTTCATTGTTCCGTTCCGCATGTAGCCGTGAATAAGTCACTCCTTGCCAGCCTTTGCCGACGGTGCATGATGAAACTTGAGCTGCAAGGAGCACCAATAACAGTTGGTCGTATGCAACTTGCAACTGCTTGTATCTGGTTGCATTTTGTGTGGTCAGGTCATTCCTCACCAGCCAACTACTGCTTTTGGTTGCCGTACGGCAAGGGGATTCTGAGACATGGAAAGAAGCAGATGTTGGGACCCGGGTGCTGGCCATTCCTCACACGTTGCTTTGACTGCGCCCTCTGCGCGGATTGCTCAGTCCTATGACGTGCCGAAGACTATGGCCTACTTCACCTTTCACGAGCCACTATTGCCGCTTGGCCGATCTTGACTAGAGATACCAAGAAGAGACTGGTTCTGGGTTCTAAGATCTGTGGGTCAGAAGTCATAACCCCCACATAATTTTGTTTGGTCCATTTTAGAGTTGGCAATCTGGAGTAGGGGCTACCAGAGCTTTGACCCAAGTGCAGATTTTGAGGGCGCAGAATATCCATTGGCTCTGCTATAGAGGAGGGTGAGTTTGAAGGCCTAGAGCTTGAAAGCCCCATTTCCTATCGTCGGCCTGGCTGTGCTAGTTCAATGTAGATTGGGAGTGCCGATTTATTGCTCAGGGACTGACCCAGGGTTTTGGGCACAAAGGAAACCATAGAGCCGATGGATGGTTTATCTCGGGGTCATTCCATTTCTCATTCCCCGCTGCGATCTGGCAAGATGTTGACTGCTTCGACTTTGTCGACCTTACAACATTTTGTTTGTGTACCCGTGCCTGCGTGATTGCCTGCAACAACCGCTTTGGGGTCAGGTGAACATCGCCCATGACCTTCGGTTCACGTGAGTTACTGGATACTTACATGTTGCACATTGGAGAAATCACAATGTGGTGTTTGTGTTAGGCGGCTCCAAGAATTCAGGGAAGGAGGTGGAGGAATTTGCGTTATTGGCAAACGTTGGGACGTAGTACACCCTATGTTCTTGAGTTTACTTACAGAGAATCTTTAGTTGCTTGCGACGGAAGTAGCGCGGAGCAAGCCACCCTGCTTCGGTTTGCTTGGTTTTCAAGAAGACTCGTTCGGGCCGCACTGAGTGGGGTGTGCTTCACTTTTGTGCACGCCGTCCAACATCTCGGTCGCCTTCTGGCTGTTTCTTGTTTGCTGCTTGGGGAGTTGTGCGCGCTCAAGGCATGCCAGTCCGTTTGCCAAGTTATGCTCAGCTTGGAAGACCCGGTCCTTTTGTTGGGACGATACTAGAGTTCGGCTGAAAGATCGACCTGCTCCGGGGTCGTCTCTGCGAAAGGTGCTTGCTTGCACATTAAATCAGCTTCCCCCCAATTGGTGGTTTCGGTCGGTGATTTGGAATTGAACCCCTGGTTTCTTAACCACCAAACCACACATGTGTGATCTAACCACCAAACCACACATGTGTGATCGACCCACCAAACCACGCATTTGGCTCCAAAGCACCAACTGGAGTCTGATCAATAATACCGGGCCAGAACGATTGCCCTCCATGTCCGCCTTTCGGAACCCACGCCGTTTCGAGGCTCCGCAATGTGGATCCGGAGGCCGGAGTTTGCAGGGCGGGTTACGCAGCCCTAGCCTTTCAAGTAGCCCTCGACTGGTTTGGATTAGTTTTCTTTGGGAATTTGAACCCCTTCTTGCACAGGCAGGGTGAACAAACAAACCGCTCCGTTTCACCACCAAACCAAACCGGGTGTGCCTTCTTTTGAGTGTTTTCTGGCGGCTCTAAAGGGAAACTGAGCCCGAGGAAATCTTCGAACCTCGTCCCTGTTACAATCCATCCATAGGCCCGAAGTCAACAGAAGCTCATCGGCTCTCGCCCAGCTCCGCGCTCCGCGGACCGGAGCTGGGCGAAAGACATGTCGGCGTTTCTGAGAGGCGTTGTTTGGTTCTGCCTGTTTTGGGTATGTGCTTGGTTTTCTTCATGCAAGTGTTTTGTATGTTGTTTGTATGTGTTTGTGTTTCTTGGCCATGTAAGGGAGTAATAGTTTTGCTGGGGCAAGAGTAACATGGCACGATTCCCTTGTGGCTGAGATGACAAAACCAGAATGTGGCGTTTGTGACCCAACTCACCAAGCCAGCTTGATGGCAACTGCACAGAAGTTCCAGTCGAAGGGAGTCGGTGCCTTTCTCCGTGTCTCGCTCTTTCTGGCTGATTTGATGTTTGGTGGGTGCGCAATCCATTTCGCACCGCGGATCAGAAACCCTGGTTTCTGATGATTCCCTCGTAAATATAAATTAAGCAACAATGGATTCAACCACGGTTTCATTCCGCGGTGCGAACGGAGTTCGTCCATGCGCAGTACTCGCAGAGCACCAACCATTGCAAGGTCTCACTTTGACAAAGCTACTGAGACCTGGCGCCCCGATCAACGGCTTGTTCGTTGGCCGCACCCAGAAGACTTTGGAAATGGTAGCGGTACAGTTGGGACCCTCGGGTGCTGAAGTGAATGTTGTTGTGTCCTTTACTCGGTCCCCCAGGATCGTGCCCTTTTACCGCTTCTTTTTTTGGGGAGGGTTCCCCTAGTAAAATAGACTACGGAAAAAAGGGTACCCTTGGAGGACCTAGTTTAAGTCCTTGCTTCGCTACTTAAGCTTTGGGCAGCCTGGGCAGAATTGGCTTATCTGCAAACTCCTTGGCAATGTCAGGAAAGACGTTCCCCCCTCCGTGCCTGTTGTTTGCACCTAGTGGAAGCTTGAAGGCGAAGAAAGCTGCGAGTAACATTTTACAACCGCGAAACCCGGCAAGCAGAAACCAACAAGCATCCAACCATTTTGATGGGGTCCTCATGCCAGTTGCACGTGTCAAAATGGTGGGGGGCCCCAACAAGCTGAACAAGCTGGCTCTTCTTTTGGCTTCAATCCAACCTAAGTGTACCTGGACCCTCAGGCGTCCCATAAAACTGGGTTGCGCCAAAATTGTGGGGCGATTCCCCTTTTTGAAGGTAGTTTGACAGTTTGAGGGTCCAGATATCTCCAACAACACACATCCATATCAATGTGTTAGATCTTCAGCTTCTTGGTCAACCTACAGCTTGGTTTACCTGCCCGTACTGTGTTTTGGGTGTTTCAGGTTGGCATGACCTACGGCGGCGGCTTCGTGTCTGCCGGGACCCCGTCTTGAGTTATCTTCCATCCAAAGCAAAGCGTCCCAGCGCACCCCGACGGGGACTTCTTCCTATTTAAGTCTTTAAGCTTTTGCTTCTTCCCTGTTCAGGTTTCCGAGCCATGTCCCTGCGTGGAACCTCCAAACATGGGCGATCGTTTCAATGGAAACCACCAGTAAGCTGATCAACCTGTGATTTGGGGAATTCCAGTGACCCCTGTTCTTGGTTCATGTTCAACAAGTGAGTTCCTCTGATTTTCACCACAGACAGGACGGTGCCATGGGGTCGGTTTAAAGGGACACCAAAGGACCCCCAGAATTTGTGGGGCTCCCCAAAAACAGACGCACCCAGATAGCGTCCACCAAAGCTTACTCGGATTCTATGCCTCGCTGATAGTTACTGATAGTTTTAGAGAACACGCGGAAATTGCCTTTCAATGGTGGCCAAAAATATCTATCAGGATCCCCAGAAGAGCCCTGTTCACAACCTGCAGATCGTGTATGGATCGATCTCCCCCCACACAGGTTCCTTACGCTCTCCGCAGCCACGATTTCAATGCGACCTGGGCCTATCCCAGGCCTTTCTGGAGGCAGACGCGTGTCACGTGAGCAGACTCGCCATGAATGGCTTTGATGCTCATTCCAGCCAACGAGCTTGGTCAAACGACACTGGTTTTGATGTGTGCCGTTTTGCTGAAGGGAAGCAGCAAGTTCTATTCTATTTCTGTCCTTTTGTTTCGCAGCGGTCATTCCACCTGATTGCATACCAAAAGGCAACCACACAGCGGCAGAAGAGGGCCCTAAAGAAACTGCGCCATCAATGAATCAAACCAGTGACGGCTTAGTTTGCATTTGCCAAGCAGCTTTTTTTTTTTTGGGGGGGGGGGTGGGGAGTTCCTCCCCGCCCTGGGAATTTTGAGAAAACAAAAACAACGCCCTGATGAAGGAAGGAGATGATGCCTCAGGTCTTTGGCTACGGGTTCCTGAACTCTACCGGGTTGAACTGCTCCTTCGAGTGGATAGGCCTGCGGATCCGGGCGGTGGAGTCTTGTTGCTGGTGTTCAGGGAATGAGACATGGATTGATTTTGAGAAAACCCATGCCCTATGGTTTCCTTTGAGGGAATCATGTTCATTCCCAACACCCGGAAGGGAATTCATTCCCTACTGAGCACCAAGTTTCTATTGTAGATGTTTTTTTAATGCAGGATCCCACAACTGTTTTAGGGGGTCTTCAATCATAGAAAGCGTTGTTCCCGAGAGGATGTCCGGGCAAAGCCACAAACATACAATATGTCTTTGCTTTTGAAGGGCGCTTTATCTGGCTCTGGGTCAAAAATAGGAAACCCTGGTAAATGGAACCAAGGAGAAAAACCTGCGGTCTTCTGGTGGTTTCATTTAATCCCACACCCGTCTAAGTCCTTCCCAGCTCAAAGGCTAAAGATTTTAGATTTTGACAAGCACAAGCCCAAATAGTCGCACAAAGGGGGGGTGCCCACGGGAGCTCCGGATCCGGTGTACTCTAAATGCTTCGGGGTCTTTCTGCACGTCATCTCTTTTCGTTGTTTTCTTCTTTTTCTGCTGCTTCTTCTCCTTCTTCTGCTTGTTCTTCTTCTTCTTCTTCTTCTTTCTTTCGTTGTTTTTTTTTGGGGGGGAATTTCGCAGATCAAAGCCTCAGCCTTCTTCGTTAAAGGGCGGATCACCCTTCTTTCTTAAGCGGCACGTGTGGATTTGTCGCCGACGGCCATCCCAGTAGAAGGAATGGGAGATGAACTCTTGGTCAGATTACATTTTGAGTTGGCAATACTAAATCAAGTGTTCAGAAGCCAAAGTCGAACCCAGACGCCAACATCCAACCCAGACCCCTCCCCCCGTTCCCTGCGACTGTTGGCACTGTTCCAAGGGGCGGGGTGTCACAGTAAGAAGGTCCAGCACAAATAGGTAGTTGGGATTGGTGGTTTGGGGTTTTGTACCCCTTGTTGTGGAGGGTGACTGGGAAACCTCCCTTGGAGCACAACACCGATTCGGCTCCACGCGAAAACGAGGGAAGCTGAACAGAGGGTTCCAATACGTTGCACGACAAAGGGCTGAGTTGGCCCAGATGCACTGCCAAGCCTCAAAAACGTGTTCTTGCTCTAAATTTCGACTACTCATTGAATTCCTGAAGCTGCCAGGACTTTAATGCAGCGATCTTTTGTGGAACTCTCATTGCGAGCCAACCAATATATGCTTCAATGCGGCCTTCTTTCATAGTAATTAGTCACATTGTCTTAGCAAACATCCGCCTAACAATCACAGATGTGTTTCCCAAGGAAGAAAAGACCTGGTGAAGGCCACAGTCAAGTTAAAGTACCGCCACTTCCATTCTTTTCCTGTCTGAGGCAAAGTTAGAAATAGTAATTCTCCTGGAGCCTGTTCACCAAAACCTTCGAGGGGTTTTACTGTGAATCTGGGGATAGCATGGGACCTGACACACAGAACTTCAGTGGCGACATGTCGTTCTTGGGGGGGGGGGCGCTGTCGACTGGCAAGTCCTCACGATTTCATGGATTGCATCGTGTGAGCTGCGAAGCGCCCTAGGGGTGCCTCAGGGGTGCAGGGGGTCAGCCCTTTAGCGAACGGGTGTCCCCTTTCAGGTTCAATTGGCTTTGCCCTGGGCTCTGGCCTCTAGATTCGACCTCTGCATGTTTTCAGCATTTCTCGGCAGGCCAAAGCCTTCGGGAATATGCGCAAATGGGTGCGAATGTAGGGGCTCACGGGCCACAGGGCCTTTTTGTTTGGGCGTCAGCCGCAGGCTCGCCCTCGGTGGTGTTCATCTCCTCTACCCAGATCATGTGCGAGGCGGGCGGTCGGCAGTTTGGGCAGTTTGTGGGAGGGGCTCAGCTGAATGTATTTGCATTTCCCGCCACCAAGTACCACTGCCATCATCTTCATCATCCTCGTCGGCAAGCGCCGGGCTTTCTCCGAGCATTTGGGACCCGGTTCAGCTACCACCAGTAAAGCAACGGCTGGGTTCGTATAACCACTGTTCTACCTAAGGATGTGTTGTTATATTCCAAATTGTTTTGACCATTTCTTTCAAGGCGAGGAACCCCAGAATTAAACGCAAGCGCGGTAGGCCACTTTGTCACCATGTTGATGACGCTCTTTCAATGCTTCAGGCTGAGCAATGAGTGCTGTCCCATCCTGTGAAGTGGGCGATCAAACACCCAGCGTCAAGTGGCCGCATCGTTTTTTTTGCTAGGGCAAGGTCGGACTCGCCTTGTGGCAGGCCCCTCTTGCCCGAACACCCGAGTTGGGCATTCATACGTAGAAGGCCTCAAACTATACACATAAAGATGGGCGATTGCCCCAACATTATGGGGTATACTGTCCCTTTTCTTACCTCTTAAAAACACAACTTTTCAACCTTTTGGGTAACATGGGCTATATGTCTGTAAAAGATTACCTTCCCCAGGGCTTGGAGTTTTAAGGGGTAAGTTTTTAAGGGTAGGTTCAGAAGAATGCCTCCTGCTGGAATCCACATTTTCCCGATGGTAGGTGGTGCATGCATGTCTAATTCAACCTTGCCCCCAGAATTCATGTTTGCTTGAACTTCCCTTTGAATCAGGTTTCCAGGGTTGACACTGATAACAAACATTCAGTTCGCCTTGGATGACTTGTACATTTGGCTCAAGATAAAAGGAGGGTCGCGCGAGTGAAGCTTTCTGTGCCGCCATTGCACTTTTGGTTACACTCTTCACTTCATTTGTCTTGATTCGTATTTCGTCTGGTTATCAGCCGTAGCTTTTGAGCTGCGACCGATAGCTGTGAGGGCGTCGAGCATCCGGGAGTTGCACCGGAACTGTGGAACCTCTTCGGTTGGCATCGAGCCGGACGAAGAGGCAAGTCACAGAAACTTGGTGTACTACGTGACGGATTGGCCGAAGGGGTTTTATCAAACGAACCTCCATGTGTGCTGGATAGCACCTGGGACAGACTTGCACGCGCGAAAGTCAACTGGGAACAGCTACAGCTCTACGAACAGGCCTTTTGGAACGAGCAACAGCGTCTGACTGAGGAGCCCCAGAATCATCGGGTGTCTTTTCGGGTTGTAAAGGCAGCGGATCGATCTGCTCCTCTTAGGCTTGTGCAGCGCGAGTCGCTCCGAGCCGAAGAGCCTGCATCGTCATCTGCGGAGCCTGTGCAGCACAGATTGCTCCAGGCGACCAGCAAAGCTGCGTCGAGGCCAGAGAGCACTTCACGTACGCCGAGGCGCGCTGAGCCTTCCGGGCATCACTTCGCTGCGGTGATTTGTGATTTGGCTCTTGCCACAGGAGTATTCAAGTGTGTGAACAGCAATTGGGAAAATCAAGGATTGCCCTTTGTCTACGAGCCGCGCTACGGCATTGACTTTCGGGACAGTTGCGTGGTTGCAATCGACTATCACCAGGTTCTTGACAGAGCCCGTTGCGGACGCACAGAGTGGGATTACGAAGGCATTTGCCACGACAACCTCGAAGCGATTAGACAGCTGAAAGCCGCTTTCTTTCGCGAAGGTATCCACGTTGTGACAATCTGCCTATCCTACCTCCATAGCCAAGAACGCCGAGACGCATTGGTTGCTGCGTTCAATCGCACTCCGGATAACTCATCAGTTTTTGACTTCATCATTACAACTTCTGAAAGGGCCAGATTCAACTCCAGGACCCAGAAAGGTGGGAAGGTGCTAGTCCTTCAGGATCTGCTGTCAGTTGGATTCCGCTCGGCATTCATCGTTGACGACAGTGACGAGGTCATCAACAGTATCATCGATCGCCAGGTAAAGGACAAGATCTCGGGCATTCACATCAAGCTTCGCAGAAAGCCACCGGTCAACAATTTGTTCAGGCCAGTCGGATTTCTTGAGGATTGTGTGGCCCATTGGCCGGAGTGCCGCAAGGTGCAAGCAGGCATTGCGTCAGTAGCTTTTCCTGTCCGACCAATTTCAAGAAGCAATGGAGCCGTCAGAAATAGTTCCAGCTGCTCAGGGATTTGTACAGATGTTTTCACCCCCGCAGGTCGCAGACTCCAGTAATAGTAATGAAGACACTAGCATGTCCACGGCATCATCCCAACCGATGGGTAGCAGGATCAACATGCAAAGTGCTCAGTTGCAACAGCATCATCATTTCTCACCAAATGTTGAAATGCACGCTCAAGCTCATCACACCCAAGTGTACCAGCCGACCATGGTTGTTCAATCATTGGATCAACAACTGGTCGAAAGAGCTGAAGCGCATTTGAGAGAGAATGATAGGAGGTTGGTTGTCACTGAAGCCCAAGCTCAATGCTTAATGGCCGAGGCTAGGGATAGGGTAAATCAATTGGAAAGCCAATCCTTCAATCAAGTTCATGCCCTTCAGGAATCACTTGAAAGGACCAAGCATGAATCGGGGGACCAATTGAGACAAGCCCAGGAGCGAGTCCTTTATTTGGAATCACAAGCCAACACACAGGTTCAGGCACTCCAAGATGCCTTGACGAGGACCCAGCATGGCACAAGTGACCAGATTAGGGAACACCAACTTAGGGAGGCCGAAGCAACGCAGAGGGCGCAACAGTTGGCAGACCGATTGCTAGCAATGGAGCAAAGGTTGAATTCTCTTGAAGCCGAAAATCAATCCTTAAAAAGGGAATTGGCATGCATCCATAATGGCGCGGATAATCCGCCACTGCAGGCGAGTGGGCAGCCTGCTGTGATGCCTTCGGGCACCAGCCAGCCAGTGCAGGACGGGTCCGTGATGCCGCAGGGCACCGGCACATCAGGCAAGCCCCGTGATGCCTCAGGGCACCGGAATCAGTGCACACAATGTTTCATCATGGGACTTATCAGGTGCTGTGAGAAACATTTTTGGGGATTCTTCTCCAGTTGCACCGAATCCGGGATTAAGTGCATTAGAAAGGCGATTGGATCAACTCACATCAGCCTTTGAGCTATTTGCATCCCAGACTGCCGCCGCTCAACCTGTGCCGCAAATTCATCAGGCAGGAACAGGGCAAGTCCCTCAGATTTTCAACATAGGATCTGTGGGAGGGCAGTCGGGGGGTGGATCGCAGAATGGTTCACAGCATGGTTCCAATCCTGGGTCGCCAGATCACTCGGATAGCTCATCAAGCGAATCCCACAAGGGTGGAGGCGGCGGGAGACCAGGAGGTTCGCCAGGAGGCTCGCAAAGACCTCCTCAATCCCCCGAAATTCCCTCTCAAGGAAATCAGGGAATGGCCCAAATTGACGGGGCAATCGATGCCTACTCAAGGGAAAAGAAACTTATGCGTGTGAAAGCGTATGATGAGATGAAGTTGCCTCAGCTGCCCAAAACGGCGGCAGACGCTCGCCTATTCAGGAACTCGGTTTTCAACCTTGTGTGTAGGCTTGCAAAGGGTGACGAATCCTTAGTCCATAGCTGGATCGCCGAAAGCACTAATCCCAAAGCCGATCTCGAGTCGAGCCTTCCGTTTCCACTTCTTGATCGAGTGTTGGGTTCAAAGCTGCTTGAGCTGTCGAAGAACACCAAGTTTGCCATGCTTTTCCAATCCATTCAGGAGCAAGAGCAACGGGTCTTCAAGCAGCCAAAGGGGCGGAAGTTGTTGTGGGTCATCTTTGAGAGGTTTAAGATGGAGAAGGATAGGGGAATTGCCTTGACTCAAACCCATCTCTTAGGCCTCAAGATGAGCGGCACCGACATTAAGGCACTCGAAGATTTCCGTCAGAGATTCGACTTCGTGTACCAGGCCTTGGAAGTTTCCGAGAGACCGAGTGACCAAGCTATTAGGAGCACCCTTTTCGAGCAGTTGAAAGGACATCCAAAAATGGCTTTGGTGATCGACCGCTTCAGGAACGCCAGTCCAAACAGCAGTAAAAGGACATGGCCTTGGCTTTACGCGAAGCTCGGGGAAATCATCGAGATTCATCAGCTAGATGAAAATGTCGTGTCGATCGATCAGGTGTACACGCAATCCGCAACTAAGTCCCAAGCAGCACCAGCCAAGACAAAGGAGGGGAAAGACAAAAACGACAAGAAGAAGGCAGAGAAGAAGGGGGAAGCCCAAAAGGAGCAACCTTCATCCAGCCAGAAGCCCAAAGACTCCAAAGATCCGAAGCCTAAAGAAGCGAATGCAGCACCCGCAAAGGGGAAAGGCAAGGGCGAGAGTAAGGGTGGCAAGGGTAAGAAGGGGGACACAACTCCTAAGGGCACTCCTAGGCTAACGGATGAAGAGAAGAAGAAGCAGCCTTGCATGTACTTTGGGTATAATGCTTGCACCAAAGGTGATAAGTGCTTCTATCTGCATGATTCCAACAATCTCTATAAGGGACCCAAGCCAAAAGGGCTTCAGACGTCATCGCCAGCAGGTGCAGCCTCCGTCAACGCAGGGGCAGCAAAGGTTTTCGCAGCCGCGTATGCCTTGAAAGGAACTGTTGCTGAAGCTAAGAAAGCAGCCAAGAAGTGCAAGAAGACCGCATTCTGCACTCCCGTGTTGTCGCAATGCATGAAAGCCGTGGCAACCATGATTGAATGCCTTAGCCAGCCAGTGCAGCAAGAGTTTCTGCTGGACACAGGTGCCGGTAGGAACTTAATCTCAAGCAAGAGTTTGCCGCAATCCTTCAGGGAGCATGTGCACGAGGCAAATGAGCCGATCGAATTCTGCACCGGTGGTGGCATCAGGCCTAGTGCTGAAGTGGTGGATCTCTCAGGGGAATTGTCAGGAACAAACACGTTCCACATGTTGAAGGATTGCCCTCATGCCTTGTCGGTAGGCCTTCAAGTGGAACAGCATGGCAGGCCGTTTGTGTGGTTTCCAGACCAACTCCCACACCTAATCAAAGCAGATCGGGTGAGTGATGTCGTACATCACGTTCCGGAGTCAGCCAGGATTTATGCCGATCGTGTGGAGCAGAACGTTCCAATCCTATCCGAAAGCGTGGCTGTCGCAGCACCAGATGCCGTGTCAGGAATGCCAGCAACAGGAGGAGAGCCTTCGTCCTCATCAAAAGGGGACACAAGTAGGCCGTCAGTGAGACCTCATGAATTGCTTGCACCGGACGCAAAAGCATTTGAAGAAGCTCCGCCCACGCCTGGCCACCCTTCAGACCTACCGAGGTCAAAAAGGGGCATGAAGCTCGACGACTCTTTGCCTCATTTTGGGGTTGAAGAGGAACTTCTCGCAGCAAG